TGAATCCATTATCTTCACACACAGCCTTAAAAACTCATTTGTATGGCCCAGGTTCTACAGAAGGAAAAAAGCTTTTAGGGCTCTTCCACACAGCCCTATATCCCAGAATATCAAAGCAGAAAATCCCACATTATCTGAGTGTGGACTCAGATAACCCAGATATTGTGAGATTTTCTGCCTTGATATTCTGGGATATAGGACTGTGTAGAAGGGCCCTGAGTCTTGGGTTACTACACTTCTCCTACATCTCTACACTAAGGGCCCTTCCACACAGCCCTATATTCACAAGTGAGGTTGGCGGGGACGAGGAGCAGGGCCTTCTCAGTGGTGGCCCCTCACCTGTGGAACTCACTCCCCGGGGAGATTAGATCAGCGACTTCCCTTTTGGCGTTCAGGAAAAAATTGAAGACCTGGATATGGGACCAAGCTTTTGGACATTCTGGCAGCTAAAGGAAAGATCTGACGATAAACAGGGACGGACGGAATGGAATGGATATACGGAACTCTGAACACTGAGCATGAGATTGGTTTGCTATTTATTATGTATTGATGATTTTAACCTGTTAATTGTTTAAATTGCTTTATGTATTGTTGTTTTAATTGATTCAGGCATCGAATTGTGCCTTCGTTTGTAAGCCGCCCTGAGTCCGCCCTCGGGGGTGAGAAGGGCGGGGTAGAAGTAATTGAAATAAAAATAAAAATAAAAAAATCCCAGAATATCAAGACAGAAAATCCCACAATATCTGCTTTGAATTGGGTTATCTGAATCCACACTCAGATAATGTGGGATTTTCTGTCTTGATATTCTGGGATATAGGGCTGTGTGGAAGGGCCCAAAGATAAGTCCTGTTAATGGTTCTTAAACTGTGGGATCATAATTTCCCAGAGAACTGGCCAGTCAGCAGAGATGTGTGAAGCGATGATAGTAAAAACCACCACCACCACCAAAAGTGCCGCTTCACCTGACTGCTTCCCTGGGTGACCTTGGGACTGATTGCCTTTTCTGGAAGAACACCTATGCAGTGTATCTCCTTTCTCTTTCTCCCTGGGTCATCCCTAGTGGCCAATCTCCGTGTGTGGATGTACAGTTAACAACATCCCATTCCAGAATTTCCTCAATCAGCTCCCAGAGAGACAGCTAAAATTCCCACATCTGCATGAAGGTGCTCACAAGGGCATCAAGGCAGATTTTGTACATGCCAGAACTGGAGCTGAAGGGGAAACAGTGCAAAGACATGAGGCAGGAGGAGTGAGAAGGACCCAAAGCACATCTGCACTGACTGTTTAATGCAGCTTGAAGGCAGCTTGAGAGGGCACCCCCTGAAAGTCCAAAAAGACCTGTTTTTTGATGGGGGAGGGAGAGTGAGAAGCTTTGCAAGTGTTGAATCCATTACTTCATTTATTAATGTCCTGCTTGTCTCCTTGTCCAGAATCCATGGTGGTTTATAAGGTGCTTTATTTAAAAACAGGTATTTTTATAGGGTTGCTGTGAGTTTTCCAGGCTGTATGGCCATATTCCAGACACATTCTCTCCTGACGTTTCACCCACATCCTCAGAGGTTGTGAGGTCTGTTGGAAATTAAGCAAGGGGGTTTATATATTTGTGGAAGGTCCAGGGTGGAAGAAAGTGTGAATGTTGCAATTAATCACCTTGAATAGCATTGCAAAGCCTTGTAGCTTCAAGGCCTGGCTGATTCTTGCCTGGGGGAATCCTTTGTTGGTCCTGATTGTTTCATGTCTGGAATTCCCCTGTTTTCAGAGTGTTGTTCTTTATTTACTATCCTGATTTTAGAGGTTTTTTTTTAAAAAATACCGATAGCCAGATTTTGTCCATTTTCATGGTTTTTCCTTTCTGTTGAAATTGTCCACATGCTTATGGATTTCATAAGACTGTGTAGTCTGACATGGTAGTTGTTAGAGTGGTCCAGCATTTCTGTGTGCTGAAATAATATGCTGTGTCCACGCTGGTTCATAGTGCTCTGCTATGGTTGACTTTTCAGGTTGAATTAGTCTGAACTGCCAGAGAAGTCAGCCATAGCAGAATAGGTTGTTGTAACTTTCCCGGGCTGTGTGGCCATGTTCCAGAAGCATTCTCTCCTGAAGTTTCACCTGCATCTATGGCAGAGGTTGTGAGGTCTTCCTTCGACAATACACATAGCAGAACACTCGGTGAACCAACCTGGACAGAACATATTATTTGAGAATAGGAGATAATGCTTCTGGAACATGGCCATACAGCCCAGAAAACTCACAGCAACCGGCCATGAAGGCCTTCGGCAACACAAGGAATGTTATATTTTGCTACCCTTTAAATTGTTCTCTAGCAAGTTAATCTTTAAATAATACACACATCAAAACTAGATGAAAATTATTGTTGCAAGCAATGTCTTTGTTTGCATTGATAAGAATGCATGTTTCCATTTTTCATCAACAAAGCAGAAAACAGTAACAAAAAAGTGCTTTTGAAGAACTTGAATAAGTCCATGCTTCCCTGAACTTGTCTGAGTCTGCCTACAAGGAAAATTATTCATTGGGGGCATTAGCATTACAGTTCAGACTAGACACCAAAGCCCTGCTCGGGTGTTACTTCGTTCAATTCAATCAATACATGAAAGCCTTCAACAACACAGGTATTTTTATAGTTGGCTGTATATAGAGATGATATCTATGATATGAAGGCAGCTTCAAGGGAAATTCTTGTTATATATACATGAAAATATGTTTTGATTCTATTAGATATGTCTTTTACTCCGAAACATCTTAGAATCTTGCTTGAAGCAAAGCATCATTTCCATTACAGAGGAAATCTCTTTATCCTCATCACAAAAGGTGCAGTTAGCCCTCTGAATTCGTGGAATTTGCATCCATGAATTGAACCATCTACACAAGGCATGAGATGTGCGGGGCTTGATGAATGCAAGGCTGGGGTAAAAATTGCTGGAAGAAACATTAACAACCTTAGATATGCAGATGATACCACTTTGATGGCTGAAAGTAAGGAGGAGCTGAGGAGCCTTTTAACCAAGGTGAAGAAAGAAAGTGCAAAAGCTGGGTTGCAGTTAAACATAAAAAACCCCAATATTATGGCAACCAGACTGATTGATAACTGACAAATAGAGAGAGAAAACGTGGAGGCCGTGACAAACTTTGTATTTCTAGGTGCAAATATTACTGCAGATGCAGACTGCGGCCAGGAAATCAGAAGACGCTTACTTCTTGGGAGGAGAGCAATGTCCAATCTTGATAAAATAGTCAAGAGCAGAGACATCACATTGGCAACCAAGACCCGCATACTTAAAGCAATGGTATTCCTCGTAGTCACCTACGGAGTGAGAGCTGGACCATAGGGAAGGCTGAACGAAGGAAGATAGATGCTTTTGAACTGTGGTGTTAGAGGAAAGTTCTGAGAGTGCCTTGGACCACGAGAAGATCCAACCAGTTCATACTTCAGGAAATAAAGCCCGACTACTCATTGGAGAGAAGGATAGTAGAGGCCAAGATGAAGTATTTTGGCCACATCATGAGAAGAAAGGAAAGCTTAGAGAAGACAGTGATGCTGGGGAAAATTGAAGGAAAAAGGAAGAGGGGCCGGCCAAGAATGGATGGATGGATGGTATCCTTGAAGTGACTGGCCTGACTCTGAAGGAGCTGGGGATGGTGATGGCCAACAGGGAGGTCTGGCGTGGGCTGGTCCATGAAGTCACAGAGTCGGAAGCAACTGAACGAATAAAACAACAACACGAGGCATGGGCAAACTTCGGCCCTTCCTCCAGGTGTTTTGGACTTCCACAATTCATAACAGCCAGAATCACTGGGCTGTGAGTCTAGAAGCATTCTTTCCTGATGTTTGCAGGCATCCTCAGAGGTTGTGAGGTCTGTTGGAAACTAGGAAAATGGGGTTTGTTTCTCTGTGGAATGTACAGGGTGGGAAAAAGAACTCTTGACTGTTGGAGGTAGGTGTGAATGTTTCAATTAGCCACCTTGATTAGCATTTAATGGCCAACAGTTTCAAGGTCTGGCTTCTTACTGCCTGGGAGAATTCTTTGTTGAGAGGTGATTAGCTGTCCCTGATTGTTTCTTGTCTGGAGTTCCCAGGTGTTGTTCGTTGATTTTAGAGGTTTTTTTTTAATACTGGTAGCCAGATTTTGTTATTTTTCATGGTTTCTTCCTTTCTGTTGAAATTGTCCACATGCTTGTGGATTTCAATGGCTTCTCCGTGTAGTCTGATATGGTAGTTATTAGAGCGGTCCAGCATTTCTGTGTTCTCAAAAATATCTTGTGTCCAGACAAGTCTCTGAGGGATATAGTACATTGTTGAGGACTTTCATGACCGGAATCACTGGGTTCCTGTGAGTTTTCCAGGCTGTATGGCCGTGTTCTAGAAGCATTCTCCCCTGACATTTCACCCACATCTATGGCAGGCATCCTCAGAGGTTGTGAGGTCTGTTGGAAACTAGGCAAGTGGGGTTTATATATCTGTGGAATGTCCAGGGTGGGAGAAAGAACTCTTGTCTGATTGAGGTAGGTACGAATGTTTCAATTGGCCACCTTGATTAGCAGACAATAAACAATCAGGGCCAGCTAATCACCTCACAAAAAAACAAAACAAAACAAAAAACAATTCCCCCAAGCAGTGAGAAGCCAGACCTTGAAACTGTTGGGCCATTAAATGCAAATCAAGGTGGCCTATTGAAACATCCACACCTACCTCAAACAGACAGACAAGAGTTCTTTCTCCCACCCTGGACATTCCACAGATATATAAACCCCACTTGTCTAGTTTCCAACAGACCTCACAACCTCTGGGGATGCCTGTCATAGATGGAGGCGAAACGTCAGGAGAGAATGCTTCTGGTACATAGCCATACAGCCCGGAAAACTCACAACAGCCCAGTGATACCGGCCACGAAAGACTTCGACAAATCGGTAGGCTGTAAGGAATTGTGGGAGTTGAAGTCCAAAACACCTGGAGGGAGCCTACAGTGCAGAAGCTCACGCCTCTCCAAGGCTCTGGGATAAGAAGACTGAAACTTGTGTGGCCTTTCTGCGCATGCGCGTCCGCTTCTCTCCTCCTCCAGGCTCCTCCCATCAGGGAAGGAAAAGGTAAAGGCTGCTCTGTGTTTTGGTCTGAAACTGGCGGGAGGTGGAGGAGGGAGGAAAGGAAGGAAGGAAGGATGGATGGAAAGAAGGGAGGTGCGGGGATTCAAGCCTGGGCCCTTCTTCCTCCCGAGGCTTTCATTATCAGCTCTTCCAGCCCACCTTCTTTTCGCCTGGAAGCTGTTCTTGAGCAGCCTCTGGAGCACAGTCTTTCCCAACAGAGCAGCATGCAAAAGCTATTTTTCATGAAATAATAATAATATAAAAGCCTTTAGGTCCCTCCCATCAGGATTTTCCTCCTTTTCTTAATATGCAAGTGATAGAGAGGCAACTGTCAGGTGCTTTTTGGCTAGACAGGGACAAGCCAAGAGAATTGAGATTAATAATATGTGTGTTGCTGCTTCTAATGCTGGAGATGCAAAGGTTGTTTAGAAATGGATATGTCAGGATCCCATTCTTCGACTCTGCCATGTGCCTCTGCTATGTATAAGCACTGTGGCTCTGTTTTGGTATTTTGCTGTATTATATTTATTTATCTAGAGCTATACACACTGTACATCAGGCATGGGCAAACTTGGACCCTCCAGGTGTTTTGGAGTTGGAGTCCAAAACACCTGGAGGGTCCAAGTTTGCCCATACCTGATGTACATATCCATATGTGGTATGGAAGGATGAGAAAACTGCTGGTTAGAAAACTAATTGCTTGGTGGAGAATGGCACAGCAAAACTCATACAGTCATATCTTGTTTGGAAGAGACCTCATGGGCCATCCAGTCCAACCCCCTTCTAAGAAGCAGGAAAATTTCATACAAAGAACCCTGGACAGATGGCCATCCAGCTTCTGCTTAAAAGCCTTTAGAGAAGGAGTCTCCACCATACTCCAGGGCAGAGAGTTCCACTGCTGAACAGTTAGGAAGTTGTTGGAGGCTTTCATGGCCGGAATCACTGGGTTGCTGTAGGCTTTTTCGGGCTATATGGCCATGTTCTAGAGCAGGGGTTCAAATGTTTTAAACAGAGGGCCAGGTCACCGTCCCTCAAACTGTTGGCGGGCCAGATTATAATTAAAAAAAACCCGAATGAATTCCTATGCACACTGCACATATCTTATTTATAGTGCAAAAACATTTAAAAACAATACAATAATTAAAATTAAGAACAATTTTAACAAATATAAACTTATTAGTATTGCAATGGAAAGTGTGGGCTGTTGAGATAGGATTGTTGTTGTTATTGTGTGCTTTTAAGTAGTTTCATACTTAGGTTGACCCTGAGCGAGGGCCGGGTAAATGACCTTGGAGGGCCGCATCCGACCCCCGGGCCTTAGTTTGAGGACCCCTGTTCTAGAGGCATTTTCTCCTGACATTCCGCCTGCCATAGATGCCGGCGAAACATCAGGAGAAAATACCTCTAGAACATGGCCATATAGCCTGAAAAAAACCTACAGTAACCCAGTTAGGAAGTTTTTCCTCTTGTTCAGGTGGAATCTCCTTCCGTGTAGTTTGAAGCCATTTTTCCTCATCCTAGGGGCCCTTCCACACAGCCCTGTATCCCAGAATATTAAGGCACAAAATCTACAATATCTGCTTTAAACTGGGTTATCTGAGTCCACACTCAGATAATGTGGGATTTTCTGCCCTGATATTCTGGGATACAGGGCTGTGTGGAATGACCCTTAGCAGTAAACAACAACAACAACAACAACAATACTTCATTTATTCCCCGCTCCATCTCCCCCAGGGGGACTCAGTGCGGCTTACATGAGGCCACGCCCATCAGTACAATAAACACAATATAACACAAAAACATAACAAAAACAGAAAATAAAATACATGAAATGCAAAACCAATATAATAAGCAACACAGCAATATAAAATCAAACATTAAAACACAAAAGATTACACTGGGCAGGGCCAAATTTAAAGATAACATTTTAAAACACTGGGAGATAGGACAATGCAAATTATTGAGTTGGGGAAGATTGCTTCCTTCTCCCTATGACTTCCCTTCACATCGTGTCTCCTCTCAGCCTTCTCTTCTGAAGGCTAAACATGCCCAGCTCTTTAAGCCGCTCCTCATAGGGCTTGTTCTCAAGACCCTTGATCATTTTAGTTGCCCTCCTCTGGGCACATTCCATCTTGTCAACATCTTGCTTCAGTTGCGGTGCCCAGAACTGGACACAGTATTCTAGGTGTGTTCTGACCAAAGCAGAATAGGGGGGTAGCAGGACTTCCCTGGATCTAGACCTCGTTGGCAGGAGAAGTTCCAGTGGGGTGGCCAGCCAATGGGAGGCAGACCCTGCTCTCCTTCAGTTGGCTGGGCTGGCCACCCTCGGGAGCTCAAGGCAGCCTTTAAAAGGGCTGCGGAAGGCCACGCCAGGCAGTGTGCCTTTCTTGTGTATGGCACTGGTTTCTCTGGTGGTGGCTGGAAGTGGGATTGTTTAGCCCTTTGGCCCAATTTTTGGCTGTCTATATTTTTTGCTGTATAGATATTACAATTAATATAGCGTCCCTACAAAATGGGAGGAGAAGCTTGATGATTCTGCACTGCTTATTTCTAAAATGCCTGTCTTCCAAGGAGGTCCATTGCTCCAAAATAGTACATAAGGGCTCACTTGGAAAATTATGTGTCTTTTTGCATAGGTGATTGTTTAGGCCAGATCCCTGTACTATCTTGTCCCCTTTAAACATTTGAGAAACAGGAATTATGGAGATGGCAGTCTTTTTCAGCCTCCACCCTCCTGTATGAAACAAATTCAAAGTAGTAGTATAAAAAACAACAACAAAACTTTATTTATGTTCTGCCCTATCTTCCCAAAGGGACTCAGGGCGGATTCAAATCACAAAAAGCAGCCAATACACACACAATAGCAAAAAGTAACCAAATAATAACCAATAATAATAATAATAGTCTATAACAGTCTAGTTTGTTCCCAAATGTGTAGAAAAAAGACTTTAAAAACAAGCTATTTTGCCTTGACAGATACACAAAATGCATCATCATTGTCTATTCTGGATTATTCCAGTCAGATGTCACTTTATACTTTGAACTAAAAAACACAAACCTTAATTCCTGTTCCTTTTCTTGGACATTTAAAATGGGTTTATGGCACATGCATAGGAAACGAGGCAATGATCTATGCTAAAGTTTCCAGTTGGTCTGTTACCCTGCATCTGCTCATCACCTGGGGGCTGAGAGGTGATACAAAAATATCTTAGGTAAACAGGTTTGCTAAAAATATGTGGTTCTATTTATGGACTGTGTTAAAACTGTACAGTATTTTTACCTGCACAGTATCAATTAAGGTTTTTCATTTATCTGATACAATGGGAGGTAGTAAGATGCTTGAGGGTTCAGCTTGCTGATGTACCCAAGGAAAGCTGCAGGGTTGAGAGAACCTTCTGTGACAGGCAGGCAGAACTAGCAACATAGAGATAAGAGGGAAGGCAACTCACTTGCCTATTGGCCTCAACACGGTAATCTTCAACAACTGGGAAAACGTATGGCTGTAGTAGATTACCTTGGAAGAGCTACCCAGGAAGATGAGTAACAAAAGAGGGTAAAATGAGCAAGGGGAGCTTAACATTTCCCTTTTAGGGGAGGACATCTCAGGAACCTAATATATGTTTCTTAAAACCTGGTTTGTTTGCTTCTTGCTACTTGGAATGTAATATATTACTATGTCCCATGTTGCAGGAATTGGGAAGTAGATCTATTATTCCAGGTTTTGAAATGTCAACAAATTCAGTTGAAGAAGAAGATTGAATGGCAGCGACTGCGCCAACAACAACCACATCACACCCCAGTCCTCAAAGTACAGGCAGTCCCTGAGTTACAAAGAACCAGCTTACCAATGATGAGGGTGAGACAACAGAAAGTGAGAGAAATCTATCCCTAGGAAGGGAAATTCACTTCTGAAAGAGTTATAGGGAAAAGGTGTCTCCACTTAAGCTTTATCACCAATCCTTGTTGCCTGTTTTTGGTCAAAAAATATTTAACTGTTTGTGTTCCCTCTATTTTTATCAGTTTCATACTTATTTATGCAATGCTTTTGACATGAAATAAAGAAAATAAAACCAATCCTTGTTTCCACCACAAGCCATTTTTTTTCAAAATCTAGTTATCACAGGGACATAAAGTGGGGTGAAATCTTCTGAAAAAGGGTAGAGACAGCAAAACAAATACACAGGGGTGTTATTCTTCCCTATGCTATCCAAAGCGCATTGTGTGTGTGTGTGACTGGAGTTCTACTTTTAAAAGTACCTGTTTTGACTTCCATACTAATTTACCTTAAGAACAAACCTACAGAACCTGTCTTGTTTGTAACTTGGGGACTGCCTGTACAATGTTTGTTCCAATTGTGTTTGTTTTGTTGAAGAAGACAATTTGGTCTGCTTCAAAAAGCATTAAGTGTAAGAAAAGTGTAAGACAGCAAGAAAAGGAAAAAAAATCTTTATTGAAAAGTAAAGCAGTAGTGTAATCAATTTTTTCCCCTAAATGTAACAAAATAGGACATAGAAAGAGATTTTCATTCTCTTTTACGAGGCTTGCGCTGCTGGAAAACCTCTATTTGTATTATGTACTATTAGGACTCAGACATTGCTACAACTCAGAGCAACCTTCTCCTGCTCTCCGTCTGTTTGGACTAAACTCATATGATCCCTTACGATGGGGCCTATTAGCCGGGTTTATGGAGTTACAGTACAAAATTGGGGAAAGCCAAGAGTGACAATAACATCATGCAAAATAGCATTTATTTTCATAAGCAGGATGTTTTCGGGATACTAAAACCTTGGGCTGTGAGTCTAATCCCTACTGTTTGTTGACCCCCCCCCCCCTTGCACTGCCCTCCTTCCTTTTCCTTTGGCAAATCTGAGTGTTATGATTAGAGATCACAGTTTCTACCAGTATTAATGCTTGATTTTCTTAATAGATGTCGCTTACATTGGGAGGTGAAGATTTCTTTCTGGAAGAGGATAAATTCAAGCAGGATTGTATAGAATTTATCAAGTTCTCACAACAAATGGGAGACAACTGGCAGTGGAAAAATATAAAGGTATGGACAGTGTTTAAAGTTTTTAAGAATAATGTTTTTTTTGGTCTCCAATTAAGATGCCTTGTTGCTAGTTCTCCAAAAATTGTATAAGCTTGGAAAATGTTATGATACCCATCTATTCTTACTTTTTTGCACACTATGTGATAATTACAGGCTTTGCTTTTTAAGGCCTTTGGTTATAAGACTTCTGAGCAATATGATATCTGGCTAGTGTTTCAATAGCTTGTTTTATTACTTTTTAAGAAGTCTGCTTTTTTAAAACTTGGGTGGTTAATTTTGTTTTTGTAAAGGCAATATTTTATTTGTTTGATTTGCGGACTTCCTTGAAAGTACATTACACAGAAATTATGACATTTCAATTAAAATGTAATTTATTTATTTCCTATATTTATACTCACCCTTCTCACCCACCCACAAGGGGGGGGGGGCGGCGGCTCTGAAATGTAGATTATTTTTGTCAAAAAACACATTTATGTGTTCTTAAAAGGATCATAAAAGATTATACAATTACAGAGGACGCATTCTCAATTTTAAAACTTTCTGCTGAAAGTTTGACCTTCATAGCAGATATCTAACTATTAAAATAGATGGTCTTTTATCTTTTCAAAATGAACGAATTATGGATTTTGAATTAAATAAAATATGTATTGTAAACAGGTTGAGCCATTTGAGCACATTCCAGTAAACTCTATGCCATGACTTTGCATTACTGTCTACTTTGCATTACTGTCTACTACCGTGTAGAACGGTAGGAGACAGAAGAAGTAAATGTTGAGTGAAATTGTCTTTGCTGTTGGGATGTCTTCCGTGTACTCGGTAGGGAGTGGAATATTGTAGTTTTCATGGTTTACCATGAGGCACAAGAGAAAATTAGAATCCATAAATGTTTGTTGGTCCAGAATCATTACATTGCTTTCCCATCCTTTTTTCATTTATGGGGATCATTATGGCAATAAGGCGTGGCAAGTTTTCTCCTTGCAGAATTGGCAATCCTAAGGTTGCATCAGTATTGGTTGCTTGAAAGAAGTTAACTCTGAACAGGATCAGGTTCTCCCTGTTCTCTAAAGTCAATATGATCAAGCCCACTGAGGAGAATACATTTGTACAGATTCGTGTCCTAGAAAGCCACAGGGGCCTCTGGCTGTTTCCCAAGGTTCATTCGACACCACTCTCTTTTTGATTGGTCTGCAGAGTTTCCCCATATGGTAAACAGTTCCTTGCTAGTGAGGGGTGGGGAGTCATGAGATTAGAAACTAAACATTGGGGTTTTGTGGAAGATGTCTTCCTTGACCTTCTCCTTTGCATGAGAAAGCCTTTGCTTCCTGGGTGAGTATTCTTTTTCTTGTGTTGTCGAAAGCTTTCATGGCTGGAATCATTGGGTTGCTGTAAGTTTTCCGGGCTGTATGGCCATGTTCCAGAAGCATTCTCTCCTGACATTTCACCCACATATATGGCAGGCATCCTCAGAGGTTGAGAGGTCTGTTGGAAACTAAGCAAGTGAAGATTATATACAGTATCCGTGGAATGTCCAGAGTGGGGGGAAAGAATACTTCTCTGCTTGAGGCAAGTGTGAATGTTGTAATTGGCTACCTTGATTAGCATTGAATGGCCTTGCAGCTACAAAGACTGACTGAGTCTTGCCTGGGGGAATCCTTTGTTGGGAAGTATTCTTTTCCTGTTGCCTCCTTTTACAACAGTCTTCTAAGGCTGGGGCAAATCCAAGACCGTCCATACACTTCTTCCTTTTCTTCCATCCTGGCTTCAATCTCAACTTGCATACTTGTGTGATCCTACATCTCTGTCTGTTGAAAGTTCAGCACCCTCATCTTGCCTTACTGACCAGGTAATAATCACTGCTCAACACAATTGCTAGCAGCCTCCCTAGTTTGGTGGAAGCGGCAGGAGAGGAGGATGGTAGTGCGGCAATTCCTGACACCTTGTCATAGTCATATTTTAATTCCACTGTGAATATTTTAATATCTGTTTAGATTAGAGCCAAGTAATTTTCAGTTTGCTGTTTCATCCACCTACTGTTTTTAAAAAGGAGCTCAGTACAATAGGCATGGTTATCTCTGCCACCACCCCTTTTTATCCTCTCAACAACTCTGTGCCCACTGACTGATCCAAGGGCAGTTAGTGAGTATAATGGCTGATGAAGGATTTACATGCAGGTCTTAGTTTTTCTCTAAACTCCAATAGTATGCCACAATTGCAACTAGTTCTGTGCAAGTTTTGGTATAGGTAGTGATGTGCTTATTTGAACAGCTTTAACATTTGAAGAGTAAATGCAATGGAATAATGGTGGCTGTGAATGAAGATCATAATTTGGTTCTAGATCACAAATTTTACATTCAGGAGGTCCCAGTTTCAGTTGTCAAATCTCCAATTTCATCACTGGAAAATTCAGTGTTACTGAATTCATTGTATACAAGTGTACATTAAAATCAGTGTAACACAATGCAGTTGAATGCACGTTATAACGAAATTCAAAGATATCTGGGCAGGGGGGAAGAAAGAATCCCACCGCTGCCACCAGTATAGTAAGATTAAAGCGCCACAGCTTGGGCAGGGTGGTCAAACAATCCCACCTCTGCCACCAAAGCAAGGGATGATAAAGTATTATAAATGACCGATGTTATTGGTAGTATTAGCCGCCACCACCTCAGCTTTCTTGGTCTGAGGAACCAAAGGTGTGAATGTGTTGTAGGTAAAGGTGTGTTTGCCCTGGGTATCTTCTATTACTCCTTAACTGGCTGACTGGACTTTAAAAGTGCTTGACAGACTGAGGCTTACACCAGCTAAAAGTGAACTAGAAAAAGTTTATTGAGCTTTAAACAAACATCTACTCATAGAATGAGCGGTACAGAAGCGTAATTCAGATGTAGAGACTTAGTTGGATTAAACAGTTAGTTCTACTGACCATAAAGCTTTTAAACCTGTGAGTTTCCTTAAACACACTGTTCTATTCTTAGAAACAGTATCTACTGAAGAACAGACCCCTATCTGTCTCACACACAGGGCAATAAGCTCTCTCTTAAACTTCTCCTAAGTCTAAGCAGACAAAACTCTCTTTTACTGGTCCTCTCAACACAGTAAAACCCTAGCCTTTGTCTCAACCTTATTCCCTAACCTTAAGGCTCACTTTAAAAACTCTTCTTCCCTGTCAGAACTCTATCTAGCTTCCTCTCCTAAAATCCTATCCTTCTGTGTTGGATGTCAAGACACTTCTCTCCTCTCTGTCAAAAACTGACCGCCTTTTCCCCTCTCTCAACCGACTCCTCCCCTAATTGCTCTAACCAATCAGGAGTCGGCTTGACTCCTCCTCCTGCTTCTGCCTGTCCTTCAAGATGAAAGCTACTGACATTCAGGCTTCGGCCTGGTCTCCTAAAAGGTAGATTTCACTACACACGTGTACTTAATATTGGCCTTTGATCTCATGCAAATATGAATAAATGAACAAATTCAACAACTTTAATGAGATTTTAGAATGTCTGAATTTTGTAGGGAGCTGCTAAATTTGCAGTTTTTCTTCCTAAATAATGGAAGATTGTACATCTTTTTTTCTCTCTGTTACTATTTTGGTTGAAATGATGTTTCCTTCATTGAATGTAAAATTGCACGTGAAGTCAGAATTAGTTTGTCTAGCATTATTTTTAATTTGATGTATTATGTTTTAATAGGAACTAAATACAGTATATCGTAACTGGTCTGTCTTGTGCTCAAAAGTTTTCGAACAAATACTCCTTTTCATTTGTTTCAGGTGCCATGCTGAGAAGAACAAAATGCTAAAATAGCTCATGACACCCTCTGCACATATACATAGGGTATAGTGGCAACGTAATGAATGACAGAGCTAATGTCCTGGAATAAGTCATACATTGATTTAAAGATCAGAGCAAATGAAATAAAGTCTGTCAAAAATGATAGATTATCCAGAGAGTTAGATTTATAGTTAGATTTGTTGGGTTGTTGAGTAGTTTAATGCTACATTAATGGGTTCTGCATAGAGACAGTTTTGAATAGAATCTCTTTATATCAGATGTTGCACATATGCTTTCTGTGTGTGTTTGGCTAAAATAAAACCTAATGAAACAGCTAATAAAATCCCAATTTGTTTCTACTTCCTTTGAGAAATAAGCTGTTAATATGCAGCTACTGTTCATTATCAACTGTGCAGTTCAGATACCTTTAAAAAGGGAGTCTTACTGAGAAATGCTGGCCATATGAAACAATTGATTTTTAAATTTATTTTTGGTTAGACTTATTTGTCAAGGACAACAAATTTAATTTGTTTAGTTCAACCTTATAACCGGCTTGAGGTGACATAATACTTTCCCTGGGTGCAATCTTTGTTGTGACACCAAGGGACATTTTAGTATATTTGCATTTATTAATTAAGGCTAAACGATATTATAGTTTCACTTTGGGATAGTCAGGCGTGTATTGGCAGCACATCTTTTTCATATGGTGAAAACCTGTATTTTTGTAAGATTGGGCTATCAGGTGGAATCCACAATTGGAGACTGTGAGTGATTTGATTTGTTTTATGGACAAATGCCCAAATTTAATAATAATAATAAATAAAAAACTTTATTTATATTCTGCCCTATCTTCCCAGAGAGACTCAGGGCAGAGTAATGCCATCGTTCTGTTAGAATAGTGGTTATAAATATTACGACGACGACGACTAAATTGTATTTATTTGCTCCTCCCCATGGTTTGAAGTGGGTACAACACAACCAAAACATACAAATAATATATTGTATGTATATATATCTTGTAAGCCACTCTGAGTCCCCATTGGGGTGAGAAGGGCGACATATAAATGTTGTAAATAAATAAATAAATAAATAAATAAATAAAGCATATCAACATACATACAACAGTGACCAGCTTTTATCAACTTTCTCCTGTCTAAATGTTCATAGCCTCTACAACAGTTTAGGGGCCATAGCTGAGAAGGTCCTTTTCTATATCCCAAACAAATGTATTCCCTTCAC